TAAATTTAGTGAGTATCTGCTTTTTCTTAATTTATTGAAAATAAAAATAACATTAAATTTTACTATTTATATTTTGTTATTTTATTATATAAATCATTTCTAACATTTGTGAATGTTGATAAGATAAGATATATAAGAATAAAAATTATGGATTATTTTCAGCCTTATACATTTTTTTGAATTCATGAATACTATGATTTTTTAATATATATTTTTATCTTAAATTAACAAGATTCATACTTCTTAAAAAGAATTGATAAATGCATTCACATAAAGTAAATATTTATTAATATTAAACATTAATTTTTTTGTAAGAATAATTTTGCATGTCATGTGTCACTTTCTCCTCATCCTATTTAGTGAAATGACATCACCATAAGGGATAAAACTTAAATTTATATAATACGATATTAGGTGTTTTCCTGCACCATGTGCACTGATAAATTTGTTAATTTTAAATTAGATTTAATAATAAATTTTATTATTATTATAGATTTTATTTTTTTCTTACCAAGATTTAAATATATATTTGATTTAGTTAAACATTAAATTAAGATAAAATAATTTTATTTCTTTAAAATTATATCTAAGATAAAATAATTTTATTTATTTAAAATTATATTTAAGAATAAATATGTATATATATATATTAAAAAATCATAGTATTATATCTAAAATTATATTTACAAATAAATATGTATATATTTAAAATTATAATCTTAGATAGATTTTTTTTATCTATTTATATTTCTTAAATATATTGAGTTAATGTGCATATTAATAAAATGATATAAAATTGTACAATTATCAAAAATTTAAATTAAACAGTATTTACAAAATTCGTACATATATAAGAAACTAATGATTTTACAATTATAAATTTATATTTTTAAAATTTATTGAAATACCTACCTAAACCCGAACCGGAAAAACCGAAACCGAATCCGAACCTTTATACAAAAAAATCCAAACGGGACTTATGAGCTTAATACTTTGGAGTTTGGTTATAATCTGAACCGAACCGAAATCCAAACTAGGATCCGAAGATATCTGAAATTAGCTAAATATGTTAATATTTTTATATATGTTAAGGTGATTTAGATATTTTAGAGTACTCAAAATATTTTGTAGTTTATTTTATACGTTATTTTGATATTTTTTAGTTAATTTAGCTAGTTTAACTAATTTTAATTAGATTTGTAAATAACTTATATATTTTGAAAAATAAAATTGTCAATTTTTGAGGTTTGAAAAATAAATTTTTGGACGATTTTAAACATTGGTTACATCCGATTCAGACCGAATCCGGAAGGAACCGAACCGAACCCGATCTGATAATTAGTAAAACCCGAATGGGACTTCTGAGCTTAACACCGAAAATCCAAAAATCCGAATCTCCCGGACCGATACCGAACGGGACACCGAACGCCCATGCCTAGTATGACTTATTACCATATTTAGAAAATTTACCGAAAATATAAATCAACAGTAAATGTAATTATCCATGTCATATTTTGTCATAAGCCATGTCATCAGTTTTTGTAGCCATATCACCTTTTTTTTTGTGAAACTGATTGTGGAGATGAGATGTAGATATATATATCTACATCTCATCTCCACAATCAGTTTCACAAAAAAAAATTTTGTAGATATTTACAAATTTGTAGATATATAAGAAACTAATGATTTTATGATTAAAATTTTATATATTTAAAAATTGTAGCAACTTTTGAAAATTTCAGTAATACAAATTGTATAATATAAAAACAAAATAGAATAATAATTTGAAATTTGTAAGGTTATATTTGAATATATTTATTTTAAAGATGATGTATGAGTTATTACCATATTTTAAATTTTTTACCATAAATAAATATCAACATTAAATGTAAAGTATGCGCTATTACCATATTTAAAAAGCTTACCAAAAATATAAGTCAACATTAAATGTAGTTATCTATGTCATATTTTGTCATATGACATGTCATAAAATTTAGTAGCCATATCACATTTTTTCTGTGAAAACTGATTGTAAAGACGACATGTGGCAAAATCAATTCACAAATAATATATAGTGGACTTATTCTTAGGTTCACCAACCAATAAGATAGTGTTATTTCATATTTGATATCTTTTAAAAAAAGAAACAAAATCTTGTCAAATTATATTGTGTTTTTAAAATAAAACTAGAACAAAATAAATAAAAAATAATAATATTAAAAACGGAAAAAAAAACTAAAAAAATAATTTAATACTCAAACACTAAACCCTAATACTAAACCCTAAACCCTAATCCTAGACCCTAAACCCTTGGGTAAATCATAAACCCTTTGGAAAATCTTAACCCTTGCGTAAATTAATACTAACCAATTATACTGTTTTTTTTTTATCTTTTTATTTTAAACACATGTTTTTATTTTAAAGATATATCAAAAGATTTTTGTTTTAAATTGTTTTTTTTGCAATTATTACTGTTTTATTTTATTTTCTCTTTTATTTTAAAACATAATATAATGTTAAAATATCTTTTTAAAGAATTTTTTTTTCGTTTTTTGTAAATATTATTATTCTTATTTATTTTGTTCTAGTTTTATTTTAAAACACAATATAATTTGACAAGATTTTGTTTCCTTTTTGACTTATTCTTAGGTTCACCCCCTAGGGTGAACCTCTTGGTTCACCAACCAATAAGATGGTTTTATTTCATATTTGGTATTTTTTTAAAAAAAGAAACAAAATCTTGTCAAATTATATTGTGTTTTTAAAATAAAACTAGAACAAAATAAATAAAAAATAATAATATTAAAAACGAAAAAAAAAACTAAAAAAAAAATTAATACTCAAACACTAAACCCTAAACCCTAATCCTAGACCCTAAACCCTTGGGTAAATCATAAACCCTTTGGAAAAATCTTAACCCTTGGGTAAATTAATACTAACCAATTATACTTTTTTTATTTATTTTTATCTTTTTATTTTAAACACATGTTTTTATTTTAAAGATATATTAAAATATTTTTGTTTTAAATTGTTTTTTTTGCAATTATTATTTTTTTATTTTATTTTTATCTTTTGTTTTAAAACATAACTAGATTTTGACCCGCGCTTGAAAGTGCGGAAATTTTTAATGCTTAAAAATTTATATAATTGGGTTTTGTCTTAGTTTAAAGAATATTTTGATATAAAATCAGTTCACCAAAATTTGTGGTGATGATTATTTTTTCATTAGTTTTTAGTTTCAGTTTTTATTTTTAGATTTTGGTTTTTAGTTTTTAAGTTTCTACTTTTCATTTTCAGTTTTTGGTTTGGGTTTTTAATTTTTAAACCCGCTGAGTTAGTTTGAACTAATATTACCAACAACCAAATCTCAAATAATCGAACATCTAATTCAAAATTGAAAAGATAACAACAAATTTAAAAAAAAAAATTTGAAATAGTTTATTTTGTAAATAAACAAAGCAAAAAAATATAACATGTGTTTTCACCTTTTGGTTTTAGATTTTAGTTTTTAGATTTGGTTTTTGGTTTTGCTTTACATTTTTTTAATCAGTAAATTATGTAAGAAAAATAAAACAATAAATTATTTAAAAGTTACCATTGAAATTTATCAAAACAAAGTGATTGTTATTTAAAATAAAAAAATATATTAACATGTTTAAAGTACATGATTTAAATAAATGATTAATAATAGATAATTTTGTTTTGTTAAAAATATTAAATACCTTTTGGGTCTGAAAATAATAATTGATTTTTTGATCTTTTAAGGTGAAAAGTTTATTCAATGTTTTTAGAGTTTTTTTCTTAATACTAAGCCCAAAAACAAAACTATATAATTTTTTCAAAAAATAAAAGTAATCCCAAGACTATATTCCATAAATAATCACTGGTTTAATTTAAGTATAATTAGTAGATTTCCATATTCCATATTTTGATGATATATATTTTTTTATAACATTCCATATTTGTAGGAGAAAATATGTGTTTTCGGTATACACATAGATACCTGCCATATTTTGAAGGTAGTTTACATTAAGGTCGTCTCTTTACATTAATTGTGTTGATTTAATTTAAGTAATATGGTTTATTTAATTATATGACTTATATTATTTGTAACATTCTAGAAAGAGTCCAAATTTAAATGACAATTTGTATAAGTAGATAAAAAGAATGACTCTATTTTAATAGAGTAGATATAATGTTAAAATATATTTTTAAAGAATTTTTTTCATTTTTTGTAAATATTATTATTCTTATTTATTTTGTTCTAGTTTTATTTTAAAAATATAATATAATTTGATAAGATTTTGTTTCTTTTTTAAAAGATATCAAATATGAAATAACATCATCCTATTGGTTGGTGAACCTAGAGTTTAATCCTAGGAGGTGAACCTAAGAATAAATATATATAGTGGATGTAATAATTTGCGGATATTTCTGATATCCGATCAGGTCTCGGGTAAGACCCGAGATCCACGGATCCAAAACAAAGACCCAATACGTATTTACTATGAACCCAAGCCGAAACTGAACCTGTAGTTTTGGATCGTTTCTGGTTTGGATCGGGTAAAATATCCACGCCTATTTTAAAGTACCGTCAACATCAGAAGACCTTCTTGATTCGTTGTAAGTATCGATAACATCAAGAATCTAACTTGATGTTAGAGATTATCTGATAATCTTAAACGAAGAAACGAAACCACCCTCGAGGAGGAATGATTTGTGATGGCTCTTGGGTGTGTCTCTTTCTTCTCGTTGATGTTGTTAAAGAGATTTTTCAGAAACTAGAATGTAAAAATGACCAAAGAAAGATGATACTGAGATTGAAAAAGAAAGGAACATGGTACAAAGTCAGATCTATTGGTCCGTACTCAAATAGTCCAGTTTAGAGGTTGCTTATTTGCAGTTTCTAAATTGGTTTTTAATTTTTGTTTTTCAAAAACCATTTTTTTTGTCCATAAAGATTTCTAATATAACAAAATCTAATATAAATAGTAGTGTGGAAAGCATAGTTTTAGGCAATACTTTTTGTCTTCAAGACAGAAAGAACAAATGGAAATGTAGAGAGTGAGTTTTTGTTGATGATTTGCAAGAGACATAGAACAAAACCTAATATAAATAGTAGTTTGTAAAGCATAGCCAAAAGAGAAATGTTAAGAGGGAAAAGGATTAAACATAAAATAAATCCTGGTAAACTGAGAAAAAGACAACTCTGTTTAATTTGTGCTGCTTCAAAACGCCGATGATTTAAACATCGTCTTAGTTGCAATATCCTACGGAGGTAAGAGCAATCTCCAAGCCATTTTCTTTTACATGAAATCATCATCGTCCATGGCGTCATAAGGACCGGAAACAAGATCATCATCAGGCTTATCCACATGCAGCTGTTTCTTTTTACCTAAGAAACAAAGTTAAAGGAAAAACACCATTATCAATCTAATTACTTGAGAAACAGTGCTTGGCTTAAGAAAGGCTAAAATTTACAAGTCTAATACGATCAAAGAGTGAATGGGAGTAACCTGTCTTCTTTTTGCCAGCGGCAGCTTCTTTCTCTGCCTTGAGTTTTTCGTTTGCTATTGCAGTAATGGAGGAAGCAACATCTTTAACATCAGCTGCTTTCATATTGGCCACAGAAAGTCTCACCACTGCTTTGAGTAGGCCAATATAGTGAAAGCTTTTCTGCACAACAGAAAACATAAATTCAATAGCAAACCAAATTGGTAATTATTAATCAAACAGCAGAGACAAGAAAGATAATATGGGATACCTCGTAAGGTACAAGTTTACGAGATATCATCTCAGCATATTCCATGAAATCGCTTTCAGACTTGGGAATGAAAATATCAACTCTTTTGTCTTCAGTCTCTGCTCCAAATAGTTCAGCAGTTGCCTGGTAATCAGCTTCCTCCACAAGCCTTAAAATAAGCCACATGGTTCTTAAGGTAACGAGCCAACAGAAGATGCCAATATGTTATATAAGTTGTGAAATGTATAAAAAGAATATATACCTCTGCATCCGAAGTTTGTCAGCAATAGGATCTAGAGGTTCTTCCTTTGATGGAGCTTCAACAGATTTACCCTTCTTTTCAACAACTTTTGCTGCTGCTACTGCTTTCTTTGGAGCAGGCTTTACTACAGGTGCCTACAGAAACAAAACAAAAACTGTTTAGTTGTAGTTTTGCAAAAGTAGACACAAAAAAGCCAATAATTGAAAAGAAAAAAGTAAACCGGAGTAGTTTCTTCATCATCCTCCTCCTCCCAAGAGTCCTTGATGTCATTCTCATCAACATCCTCATCATCCCAATTACTTTTCAATTCAACTTTTGCAGGAGTTGGTTGAAAGTCTTCAGCCTCTGAAACAAGAAACAAGTGTGAACATGTCTATCTTTCTTACAGAACAGAAGTTAAAAAATAAAATAAAAAATATTCATAATGTAGTATAAGTCTTACCCCAAGCATCCATCTTTGTCGCTAATTATCTAGAAGAACAAAAGTACAATGTGTTATTCTTGAATCCAACGGAAAAACCTGTATAAGAAGGGCTCTCAAAGTTATAATCTTTCAGAAAGATGATCTCTCTATGCCAATAAAAAAATCAAGATTTTATTAGATGAATCAATGAAAAGTATTTAGGATGAATCCAATTGAACAATAAACAGGTATTGTTAGAAAGCGTGAAGCTAAGATGAATTAAAAGGATTGAGAAATTTACCTGAGAAAGACGGTTCGATTCGTCGGTGAAAACTCCGATGTTCAAAGGAAGGAGACGAGACTGCCAGAACTATTTGGTGGTGCCTTTAGGGTTTTCTCTCTCTCACTTTCTACAACTTTAACATTGACCAAAACGGTCATAAAACATTAAATATACAATATTCCATCTCTTATTTCACTTTTATTAGGAAATATTGCTGTAATTTCCTTTATTTTACTAATATTGATTATTTAAATGAAGGAAATCCAAACGACAGAAAAAAGGAAAATATAATAAATTAAATAAAACAGAAAAGGGAAAACCGAGCGACGCTTTGTGTTTAGTATACAAGAGAGAGCGGAAGAGGTGAAGCCAAAGAAAAACTCAGTATCAAATCTCAAAAGTCCCAAAGAGTAAAACCCTAAAAAAAAAAGTGATGAGTGGGAAACTAAGTAAGTTTGAAGATCCGCCGAGTGCATCTTCAAGCGATGAAGAAGAAGACGAAGATGATGCCGCTGCCAACTCTTCCTCTGAAGAAGAAGAAGAAACCGATTCTGAATCCGAAGCAGAGCCTGTCCCGAGTCCACCTGTGAAACCTCCAGCAGATTCCAAAAAGGTCGAAACTTCCTCCAAGACCGAGACCAAGAAGCGATCTAGTGAGACAGATAAAGGCGAAGCCAAGAGGGTCAAGAGGGTTTCAGGAGAAGATGAGAAAAAGAGTACTGAGACTAAGAAAACCTGTTTCCAAAGAGTTTGGACTGAGGAAGACGAGATTGCGGTTTTGCAAGGGATTATCGACTTCAAAAACCAAACTGGGTCGAGCCCTTATGATGACAAGAACGCGCTTTACGATCTCGTGAAGAAATCTGTAAGCTTTGATGTTACTAAAACTCAGTTCTTGGAGAAGATTAGGGCTTTGAAGAAGAAGTTTGATAACAATCTTGGTAGAGGCAAGAAGAAAGGAAAGGATCCGTCTTTTTCCAAAGATCATGATCGCAAGGCTTTTGATTTGGCTAAGTTGGTTTGGGGAGATAATGGAATCATGGCGCTTGAGTCATCATCAGCGGGAAAGAAGTTGAAGAAAGTTGAGCCTTCTGTGAAGAAGCAGAAGCAAGAGGAGCCTGTTGTGAAGAAGCAAGAGGAGCCTGCTGTGATGAAGCAAGAGTTTTTTTCCGTTGTTGAATTGGTAACTCGTTTTGGTGTGGATGATCTTGCTGCTAAACAAGGTTGGAGTAGGCTTTCTGCAGAGGATAAGGAGAGATTTGAGGAGCAATGGAAAGTGTTGCAGCTTAAGGAATTCAGGTTGTACTCTCAGAAGAGCGGTTTCATTCATGAAGTGGTAACAAAAATGGCTGAAAATTCTTAAGATTTATGTTTTGTTGCTTTTGTTTCTGTCTCTTTTGCTTGTACTGCCTTTGTGGTTTTGCTTTTTCTAGTGACTTTTCAATATTGAAGTGAAATTTTAAATTAAAATGGGAGCAATGTTGTTATAAACAGAGCTTTTTTAATTGTTGAATATAGTATGGACTACACTACATACGTATGTTTAAGAAGGGTACACCACCAGAACATCAGTTTAGACAATATGAGAATCAGTAAGTGTCTGAACTTTTCGAAGCTATCTTTGACTGTTTTCCTCTACGGATTCAAATTACTTACGAGCAAATACTTTGGAGCAACAACCGATAAGGAGTAGCATACCACCTCTGTTCAAAAACGCGGCCGCCTAACCGCCTAGGCGGCCGCTTAGTCGCAATTCGATCCCCATCCGCGGCGATTTTGACCTAATCGGTCAAAAAATCGGAGACCAATTACTCGGTCCATAAAACCTATTAGTTGGCCCGTTTACCGATTAATCGGCCCACTTACCAATTATTCGGCCCAGTTATGGATAAAACATGCCTCAAATTTTAACTATGATGATACTTTTATGGGCTTACATAAACCCATATACCTTATTATTCTTATCATGTGTATATATAGAGTAGTAGTTGGTCAATTTATTAACTCTGGGACGTTTTTCCAGAATTTATAAATCGAAAAATATTAAAACGCATCATAAGGGAGTCGAACCCGGGTTGGACATCGAAATATTAGGCGCCTCTACCACTAGGAGAATTCAATTCTTTGTATGTATTGCGCATATGTTAATATATATACGATTTACATATAATTAAAACACAAAAACTAATCCCCGATTAATCCTTGATTTGTTATCTAGGCGCTAGGCCCAACCCGACCACCCGACTAGCGCCTAGCGATTTGGTAAGATGCTATTATGTTTGGTTGATCCACAAAGAACCAAACATAATAGCATCTTACCAATGTACTTACCACAGGAGTCCGAAGAGCATCATGGCTTGCAAGCATTTAGTACTCAGATAAATAAACAATCACACAACCAATAAAAGGAGAATAATAAGCTCCATGGGACTATCCACATCCTCAAAATATTCGACCAATGGAATTATAACATTTTGCCACGCCATAACTGATTTCGGATATTGGGTTTCAAATAATTTCTGATCTGTCAAGATAATCTCAATGGTCCACCAAACCCACTTATGGAAGGTATCATAACCTTCACCTCAACGACGCGAGATCCATCTTCTTCATTTTTTTCCAAACCCTAATTTCGTAGATCGTTTGTGAAACCCTTTCTTCATCTTCGTTTCTCATCAAGAAGATGAAAAAGAAGAAGATGATGATTTGGCTGAGAAGGCGTGGAGTTTGATCTTTTATCTTCATTTCTCAACTCAGAGGTGAAAGAAGTTGAGTTGCGAGTTAGTTTTCTTCAGAACCAAGTTCAAAGCGCACGTGTCTTGATATCTCCGTATCAAGATGATGGAGAAGTGGTGGAGATGAAGAAGCAATCTTCTACCTTTCACAAGTTATCTTTTGGTTTGGATGATTCTCTATGTTAGGATCAATAGCTCGAAACTCTCTCTCAATCTCACACTCTCTCAAAACACTGCAGAACGTAAAAGTAACACAAAGAAAGACACATAAAATTTATCACGAGTTCAGGCCCTCAAAGATGAGTAACAACCCTACGTCTCGACTAGTTGTTAACCAGTGTTTCACTATCTTTTTCTTACGGATTCAAAACTGAGAATCCTTCTCTTGTTTACTCAGAACGTAGCTCACAAGAGAGAGGGGGGGGGGAATTAACCACATATGCCCTTTATATACTGAGGGACTAATTACAACTTTAAGCCGACTTAAACCAGTCATAAACCATAAGCTAAACTACTTAATTGAACAAGACCAAAACCGCCTTTCAATCTTCAGCTTAATTGACACTCTTTGCCTCGGTTTAACCTTAACCGGATTGATTATCATCACCAAAGTACAACAAACCCCACCTTGATGACATCAATCTAACTAAGCTCCTTAATGCTGCAAACATATGCACTCCCAAGCACCATGCTCCTTAGCGCTTGGCTATGCCAAGAGCACTTAATGCCTTTTAAAACTTTTCAACAGGCAACGGCTTTGTCAGCATATCAGAAAGATGCTTTAACGTATGAATCTTCAACACCTTCACATCACCCTTTTCAATTATATCTCTGATGAAGTGTAACTTCCTGCTGACGTGTTTTGTTCGTTCATAATGAACATTGTTCTTGGCAAGGCAGAGAGCACTTTGTGAATCACACCACACGTTGATATTCTTTTGAGCATAATCAAACTCTTCAATTAAACCTTTCAACCAAATAGCTTCTTTTACTCCCTCAACTAAAGCCATATATTCTGTTTCAGTTGTAGATAAGCAACAACATCCTACAAGCCTGACTTCCAGCATATAGCACTGCCACCAGCTGTAAACACATAACCCGATATTGACCTTCTTCTGTCAAGGTCTGAAGAGAAATCCGAGTCGCAGAAACCCGCAACAACAAACCTTTCTGATCTTCTGAATACTAGCTTCATATCTTGAGTTCCCTTTAGATATCGAAGTACCCACTTAACAGCACACCAGTGATCAGAGATATGATTACTGATAAACTAGCTTATCAACCCAAAAAAATATGCAAGATCACATCTAGAACCTATCATCGCATACATAATGCTCCCAATAGCATTTGCATAAGGTATATCATCTCCTACTGGTACCTGACCATCACCATCTTTAATTGCAGATAATCTGAAATGCGAACCAATTGGAGTAGACACAGATTTTGCCTTAGAGATATTCAACACACGAAGAATCTTCTCAACATAACTCGAGTGAGAAAGAGTTAAAACCCCACCTTCTCGATCTCTTTCTATGTCCATACCCAGTATTCTTTTTGCCGGACCCAAATCCTTCATTTCAAACCTGCTTGCTAACAACTCTTTTGTCAGCTTCACTTCTTCCATGTTCTTTGAGGCTAACAACATGTCATCCACATACAAGAGCAAGTACACCCTATCTCCGTTATTAACACCTTTAACGTATACACAGTGATCGTACTCACTTCTCACAAACCCTTGACCCACCACAAATTGATCAAAGCACTAATTCCACTGCTTAGGAGCTTGCTTAAGTCCGTATAAGGCTTTATCAATCTTACATACGTAATCCTCCTTTCCCTTCACTACATAGCCCTCTGGCTGCTCCATAAAGATCTCGTCCTCTATGACACCGTGAAGGAATGCAGTCTTAACATCAAGCTGCTCTAGTTCAAGATTTTCATTTACCACAATAGCAAGTAACAGCCATATTGACACGTGCTTCACAACTGGTGAGAATATCTCCTGATAATTAATTCCTTCTCGTTGTGAGTATCCTTTTGCTATAAGCCTTGATTTGTGACGTGGTTTCTTCACTCCTAGTATTCCTGGTTTCTTCCTATAGATCCATTTGCACCCTATGACTTTTCTATCTTTCGGTCTTCTTTCCAACCTCCAGGTCTTGTTCTTCTCCAGAGACCGCATTTCTTCATCCATTCCTCCTTCCCATAGTTCACTATCATTGCTCTTCATTGCCTCCTGATAATCTCTAGGTTCATCTAGACTTACTTCAACTGCAGCTACAAGAGAAAAAGCTGCTAAGTCATAGTCACCGTATCTTACTAGAGGTATAATTTCCCTCATTAATCTATCTCTCGCTATGTTGTAATCTCCATGAGTTTCAGTATGAGAGCTACTTCCTCCATCTTCATTCTCTGAATCAGCTCCATTTATTTGACTTTCAGACATTTCAGTGATTCTTATTTCTTTATCACTAATCTTGGTTATCTCAGGATTAAGAGTAACTGAGCTTCTTGAAACTTCATCCTTTGACAACTCAGTCTCCTTCGATAGCTTCAACTCGTCTTTATAAACCTTCTCTTCTGTGAAGATTACATTCCTGCTGATCACACATTTCTTATCATCTAAGACCCACACCTTGTAGCCCTTTACACCAACCGGATAACTCAGAAAAACTCCTTTTACTGATTTGTTTTTCAACTTCCCTTGGTCTCTGTGAACATAAACAATTGATCTGAATCTCCTCATATGCTTGTAACCCGGCTTCTTACCAAGCCAAAGCTCCTCTGGAATACTGCTATCTATCGCTGATGATGGGCTTATGTTGCTCTGATATACAACTATAGACACTGCTTCAGCCCAAAATTCTTCTTCAAGACCAGACTCAACCAATAGACATCTTACTTTCTCCATTATGGACCGATTCATGCGCTCCGCAACTCTGTTTTGTTGCGGAGTGTATGCGCACGTTCTATGTCTCTCTATGCCTTGGCTTCTACAGAATCCATCAAATTCAGAGTTATAGAACTCCAGTCCGTTATCTGTTCTTAAACATTTGACCTTCTTGTTTATTTGGTTCTCCACAAGACTTTTCCATTCACAGAACTTCATAAACGCTTCACCTTTGGTTGCCAGAAAATAGACCCAGAATTTTCTGGTATAGTCATCAATGATGGACAAGAAGTACTGCTTCTTTGAAATACTCGGAGTGACGTTCTGGGAACCCCAAAGATCCATGTGAACATATTTCAGAGCCTCCCCTGAGTTATGTTTCCCAATGTGAAAGCTCAACCTTTTATGTTTTCCCATTACACAACTCTCGCAGAAACTCAACTCACCAATCCTTCTTTTGTCTAAGATCCCTTTCTTTACAAGAATCTGCAGGTTCTTTTGACTTATATGACCCAAACGTCTGCGCCACAACTCTGTTTCATCCTGACTCTTCTTTGATATCACATTATTGATTTCACCTGTCATCACAGTCTCATCATCCAGCAAGTATAATGTTCCTGATAAAGTTCCTTGTAAAGCTAGTTCCCCATCCTTATAAAATCTAGTTTTACCACTACCTCCAGAGTGATTAAAACCTAGTCTATCCAGGGTTCCAGTCGAGAGTAAGTTCCGTTTGAGTTTAGGAACATACCTGACGTTGTTCAAAACTTTCACTGTACCTCCATAGGCTTTAATCTTCACCGATCATATGCCCTGTACGTCCACTGTGAAGTCGTCTCCTAGCTTCACTTGTCCAGAACTTACTTCTTCAAATGTGTCAAGCAGTCACATCTCGAAGTCATATGGTATGAGCACCCAGAGTCTATAACCCATTTATCTTGGTGCCACGAGTATGAGACGGTTAAGGCATCAATCACCACATCTGCTTCACCAGTTTCTTCACCTTCAAGTTTCTTCTTCCGAGCATAGCAGTCTATCTTCTTATGCCCTTCCTTCTTACAGTTTCAGCAGGTTATTCTTGATACAGATCCGGATCTTGACCTGCTTTTCCATTTTCTGTTGCCAGATTCTCTCCTTTCAGGTCTTCCCCTTGCTACTAATGCATCACCACCTTTTGCTGTACTAGTGGTCTCTTGTTTCTCTTTCAACTCAACTTCTTTGGACTTTGCAGCATTAATGAAATCTTCAATAGTCAGAGAGTCTCTTTTAGCGTGTTATACTGAGATTGCAGAGAATTCAGTAGCAAGATTGCTTGAACTTCTTTAGTGACTTCTACATTCAAGCAACTCAATCCAGATACTAACTTCAAGAACTCATCAATATTTTGATAAATCGACTTAGAATCCTCCATCTTAAAAGTGTAGAACTTGTGTTGCATATGGATTCCAATTGGGAAGAGTTTTTCGATTGTATAACCTTTCAAGAGCAGTCCAAATCTCTGCTGCGGTTGTACAATCTTCAAGTTTACGCAGAACATGATCTCCAAGATTCAGAATCAACATGTTCATATCTTTCTCTGCCCGTTCAACTCTCTTCTCTTCCTCCTCCTTTAATCTTCCTTGATACGCATCTGGATCTTCCTCTTTCTTCATTGGTTTCGGGATCGATTCGTCCAGAGAATCTTTCAGTCCCAAGATCGAAAGGTGAGCTAACATCCGTTTCTTCCACATCGAGAAATCGCCTTGTCCGTCAAAGATTGCGACTTTGATCTTCGTCATTGATTCATCCATCGAGCTCAGAGAACCTGGCTATGATGCCACTTTGTTAGGATCAATAGCTCGAATCTCTCTCTCTCAATCTCACACTCTCTCAAAACACTCAAGAACGTAAAAGTAACACAAAGAAAGACACAGAAGATTTATCACGAGTTCAGGCCCTCAAAGATGAGTAACAACCCTACGTCTTGACTGGTTGTTAACCAGTGTTTCACTATCTTCTTTTTACAGATTCAAAAGTGAGAATCTCCCTCTTGGTTACTCAGAACGTAGCTCACAAGAGAGGGGGGGATTAACCACATATGCCTTTATATACTCAGGGACTAATTACAATATTAAGCCGACTTAAACCAGTCATAGACCATAAGGTAAACTACCTAATTGAACCAGACCAAAACCGCCTTTCAATCTTGAGCTTAATTGACACTCCTTGCCTTGGTTTAAGCTTAACCGGATTGATTATCATCACCAAAGTACAACACTCTATGTAAGTAACTAAATTTAACATTGTTCTTATAAGATTCTCTTATTCATAAGTTAGAACCTTTTTTTGTTTAGGGCCTGGGGAATCAAACGTTGTCACTGTGATAACCGACAACGCGTCAAACTACAAGAAAGCTGGTAAGTAGATTCTGATTTTTTAGATTCTGATGTTACTGTTCATGTTATGTAAGTAGATTCTGATTTTATTTCTTATATGTATCTATCGCAGGGAAACTACTAGAAGCCAAGATACCAAATTTGTATTGGCTTCTTTGTGCAGCACATTGTGTGGATCTCATGCTGGAGGATATATCAAAAATCCCTCAAATAAAGACTGCAATTAGGAACTGTATCTTCATGAATGGCTACATCTACAGTCATGTTCCCTTGGTGAATATGATGAGAAGATTCACAAACCAGAGAAATTTGCATAAACCGGCGATCACTCGATTTGCTACAGCAATTTGCATAAACCGGCGATTCACAAACTCGATTTACTCCATCTGTCACAGTACTACAAGCAGAAGAAAAAGTTGAGGAATTTGGTACTTTCTGCAGATTGGGATAAGTCCAAGTGGCCAAAGGATTCAGAAGCAAGGAAAGTGAAACAGATTCTTATGCAAGACAGCTTCTGGAGAAATGTGTTATATGCACTTAAGGCAACCGGGCCTCTCGTTAAGGTTCTTAGGATGGTTGATGGAGAGCAAAAACCTGCTATGGGTTACATCTATGAAGCAATGGATAGGGCTAAAGAGACGATTTCTAAGACCTTCAACGTGAAAAAAGATTACATGCGTGTGTTTGATATCATTGATAATCGATGGGATTGTCAACTACATCATCCTTTGCATGCTGCGGGCCACTTTTTGAATCCAGAGTATCAATACAAAAAGGCAGAACATGATGAAGAGGTTATGAAAGGTTTATATGATTGCATAGATAGATTAGTTTCTGAGGAGAAGACTCAAGATCAGATTATCAAGGAAATGGATGTGTTTAAAAGTGCTTCAGGACTTTTTGGTCGTCATGTGGCAATAAGACACTGAACAGAATTGTCACCAGGTAATAATGACTGTTCTTAGTCTAACGTTTGATTCTGTTTATTATGGAAATGGTAACTAATACAATATGATTCTGTTTTTTATATGTTTTGTAGCTGAATGGTGGGCATCTTATGGAGCATCTACTCCAAAACTTAGAGATTTTGCCATAAAGGTTCTTAGTCTAACCACTCTAATGTGTAGTGCAACAGGCTGTGAGAGAAATTGGAGCGTATTTCAACATGTAAGTGACTTAAAAAAACCAGATTGTCATTATGTCTAATAGATTATAATCGTATTACTTATAAATTATAAATTTTACTTCTTACAGCTCCACACTAAGAAAAGAAATCGTTTGGCTCAGAAACGATTGAATGATCTTGTGTTTGTCAAGTACAATCGCACCTTAAGACGTCGTTACAAGAGGAGACACACAATTGATCCCATCCTGCTACAAGATATTGATGATTCTAACGAGTGGCTAATAGGAAAAATGGAAGGGCAGTCTCCTTATGAAATGGAACTGGTTTTTGATGATGATGATTTAACATGGGATATGGTTACCAAAGTTTCTGGAGCTGCTGATCCTAGCTACTTTACTAGAGGTAACAAAGCATCATCAAATGCTTCAAATAGAGCTGAGAAAGAGACAAATGCCTCAAGCTCCACTGCAAATCCAAGAGCATCTCAGAGGCATGTGTTAATTGATGAGGATGATGATATTGAAAACGATTTTGGAGGTGGAGCTGAGTTTGAAGATAATCTTGAAGAAGATTTTGGATTTGAAGGAAGACATGAGTTTGAAGATGATGATGATGCAGATTTACAATTTTAACTAGACTTGTCTTTGCTAGTATTCTCTAAAGTTTGGAACTTTTAGTGGCTTGGCTTTGTTTTTCTTTGTTTCCAGATTTCAGTTTCATTTTGCTGTTCAGACTTCAGACTAGAGGTTTTAGCTTTTAAATCGACTTTTTATTTGTTTTAACAAGGTCTTAGAATCCTAAATTGTGCTTATATAGTTTAAGGATCAAGTAACATAACTACCCTATTGTTTTGTTATGTAGTTGCGCCTCAGGCACCAAAGGCGCACGAGGCTCTGCGCCTAGGCTCAAGGCACAAGGCTCGGACCTTAGCTCTTCGGTGCGCCTCGCGCCATTTAAAACACAGGTAGAGTCTCAAAACGATGGTGAGTTTGGTGATTTAAGCGCTAAGATCAAGATGCAAACTACTGATCAACAAAGGAATGTTTTGAGGATGCTTGAGAAGTCTTTAGCCAAGGAGATGGAGCTGGAGAAGAAGCTTAGCGAGTCAAGAAACGCTGAATACCAACTAGAGATCAAACTATATTCCGCCGAGCAGGAGGTTCTCTACATGGAAGAAGTAATCGAAGACGCTTATTCAAAGTGGCTTGAGGCAGAGAATGCTTCTGAAGTTTTTAAAGGGGTGTTAAAGGAGATGTCTGGAAAGCTTCAGATTCTTAAGTTCAATCTAAGCGGCTCTTTTAAGAGGGGAGATAATTTGAACGGACGTTTAGAAGCTAAGGAATCTGCTTTGCACAAGCTTGATAGCAGTAACGGAAGACTTAACGACTTTCTTGTGGCGTAAACAGAGGGATTAAAAGAGAGTTTGAAAGAAGTCGAGGAGAGATTGATTCTGTTGGACACTAAGAACTCTACATTAAGTGATAAAGTTAGCTCCCTTGAGGAACAGCTTAATGATAACGATGATTTGAAAGATAAGTTAGTGGACACTGAAGCAAGAGCTGATGAAGCAGAATCCAAATGCTTAAAGCTAGAAGAAAGCCTAAAGGAAGTTCAAGATGAGTTGGAGTGTTTCAGAGGAAAAGGATTCACTCCAGAGAAGTTAGAATCTCTTGAAAAACGTTTGAGAGACTATGATCATCAGCTAGAACTTGCGGTTGCAGCCGTTGAAGCAAGAAAAGAGAAGCAGAATTTGTTATACTCTACTGTCTCTGGCATGGAGGATGTAACTGAAGATCTTAAATCGAAAGTCTCCAAGTCTTAGAACAGAGCTAACTATACAGAAGAGAAGTTAAATAGTGTGTCTGAGTCTAACGCAGATCTCAATGAAGAGCTGAAGTTCTGTAGAGGTAGATTGAAAAAAGCGGTGAGGTATTTAGAGAAAGCAGAGGAGAGAAAGTCGCAGACGGCTAAAGATATCGCACATCATAATAAGATCATGAAGAAACTGGTCATGCAACTTGCTTCTGAACGAGAACGGCTTCATAAACATGTGTTGAGACATTACCTCAGTAGCTTCATCATCATCAGAGTACATGATTAGATGTAGTTGACTTTTTTTTGGTTCCAGATAACTAACTACAACATATATTAAACCATTTGAGTAACGGAAGGCACATTGTGTGTTAAACCTCACTGTCACAGTTGATTATGTAAGTACTTTTGAATACCACATACATAAACTATTATCAAAGGTTCATATAGCATAAAAGAGTTCTAGCATATAAATTATATTAAAGGTTCATATAACATAAAAGAGTTCCACCATTTAGTTCGAACAATATATTTCACTGAGAAAAATGATCAAGTTAAAATGATTTTATATATACATTTTTCAAATGTTCATTAGCTTTTTTACAAAAAAAAAGAAGAAATAATTAATAAAATACACACAGCCATTAAAAATGTATATTTAGACTGATGCATGGAAAGTAATCATACAAATTTATCTATAAAAAAATCTTTTAAATTAAATTAACATTTACTCACTCTGTTCTGAATAAGTATCACTTATACACATTTTATGTGGATTAGAAAGTGGTAAAATATACTAATATAACCCTATTTAATTTATAATTATTTAAATAAAACTGATTTAAATATAAATATATTAGTTGTTTGAAAGAGTAATAAAGAGATTGTTTGTATAAAAAAAACACTGGGAGTATAAATGACACTTTAAAAAAAAACAAAAAATAAATGATAAAATGACGCTTGTTATGAAACTGAGGGAGTATATTTTTTGATCGTAAGATGACATTTTTTCTTTGATCTTTTTTGGTTGAGAAAGAAAAGGATTGATTGTTGATTTGGTACACAAAAAGTTCTAATGCTTTTTAATTTTCCAGAAAAATAATTAATTAATTACATAGCTAGAAAAAATATATATTTAGGATAATGTTTGGAATCTAAATATACGAATGTATCTAAATAAATACATTAAATATAAAAAATGAAGACAATATTAATTAAAAACCAAATATAATTAAACATATAGAAAATGACTGAAATCATATAAATAGTAAAAGACAAATCATACAAGAAATAAACTTTTAAAATTGAGGAATAAAAGTGAAGGTGGACATGAACTGTTACCAAAACAGATATATACAATAAAAACATATTAGGAAGTGGAGACAATCATAAATTAAGCAGATATACAATCATACAAGACATATATTTTGTTAATTCAGTTTGACACTATTAGGAATGTTTGTGGAGTATAAAAAAATTTAATCAAAATTTAGAATAGATCTACATTTTTAAGCTTAATTATATATGATTAAAACAATACTTTCATAAAGTGTCGAACATTGTAGAGTAGAAAAAGAAAATCATGTTGGTGATGAACATTAATCTTAAAATATATGAAGATTCAGAATTCACATTAATTAATCATTTATTTTAATTTATGACTTAATATTTAAAATATATAATATATGATTAATTAATGTGAATTCTGAATATTCATATATTTTAAGATTAATGTTCATCACCAACATGATTTTCTTTTTCTACTCTATAATGTTCGACACTTTATGAAAGTATCGTTTTAATCATATATAATTAAACTTACAAATGTAGATCTATTCTAAATTTTATTTATTAATTTTTTTTCTATTTCACAAACATTCCTAATAGTGTCAAACTGAATTAACAAAAAATATGTATACAAAAATCTAAATTACTCATAATTAACGGACTGAGATGAAGAAAACAAACATCAAATTAATTTCTTACTTTTAGTGAGTTAGTTATGCTATTCAGTTTTCAGTTTCAGGAATTGTAAACATATTTTTAATATCAAAAGATACCTGCAATTGAGTAAAATAATTAAAAAATGCATACTCTAATTTATTAAAAGTAAAGAAAAATAAATAAAATAAAATATTTTGATAAAACAAGACTTACAAAAATAAAAATTTAAACAAAATAATTCAAATGATAATGAAATAATAATTTATCTTATTTAAAGTATATTAACCGCTTGTAACGCGTATGGAAATCTCTAGTTTGAGTGAATATTGCCAACTACACACATGGAGAGTTGTTGATTCTTATAAAGTTAAGATTGCAATATTGTACTCTTCATTGCATTATTGTCCTTGTTTTTTCCAGCTTTAATTTCTTTTGTCAGCTCATTATTATATTTGTTTAGGGAAATAATGTGAAAGATCAAGACCAAAATTCTCTACTTGAACAAATTTGTCTATTGTTTGCAACGGTGTGTAAAACAAAGCCTATGTTTTCAGGAGATATACATTGTTTTTTATTTTTTTATTTTAACTTAAGAGATACATATTATTGTGGCTTTGATTTTCTTGTATGCCTTGTTGCTAGCTATTGTTATTATTACTGAAATAAATTTTAGAATTTATCATTGTAGACGTCCAAGTATAAAACAATGTTCAGAAAAAAGAATAATCCAATCTATATTAAGTAACTAATATAAGCTTCCAAAAAGGTAACTAATATATGAAGGGTGCTTGTGGTTACCATAACCATTGCTGACACAAATGAGTAAACTTAAAAGTAGTAATAAATTTTGAGAAAAAAATTAAATTGTTGCAGTGAGAAGTCCAATACTCCAAAAAATTGAATCCGATAAAATTTCTATAACTGTCTTACTAGCCTTGTTTTCTTCCCTTACTAAAATCTTAGCATAAAACATTATTATAACTCGTGAAGAGAAACAAACAAGAGATTATTTTTTACCAAAAAAAAAAGAGATGACTTGGTCACGCAAAGCAAGTTAATCATCTCATGTAATTCACCGTGCCGGATAATAGGCATGCAATGTAGGTAAGCCTTCACGAATTTTTCCGTTTCTTCACATATCTTAACGCGAAAGACTCTTAATGACTCACTATACACAAGAATAATAGAACTATACATGATTATATTGCATGGGTCTTGCCTATAAATACAGCCATAGGCACTTTTATTTTATAAACCAACAACTTTTCATTATCTTCTCCACATTATTTTTCATATTATGAATCTAGATTAATTGTATGAGACAAAATATTTGTGTTATCTACGTTGTCTTTAAAATTATATGCTTGAGACATGTGATGGTGAGGAAATTCATAAAAACAAATATAAAGAACCGTGCACATCCAAGAAGGTACACATAATAGAGCTGAATAGTACACAACCTAGAAGGTACACTAAGACTTGACTACTCAAAACTCACCATACACAAGAATAATAGAATTATACGTGATTAAATTGCATATGCCTTGCCTATAAATACAACTATATGCACTCTTATTTTATAAACCAACAACATCTCATTATCTTCTCCACAATTTTTCTCATATTATGAATCCAGATTAATTATATGAGATAAAATATTTGTGTTATCTACGTTGTCTTTAAGATTATATGCTTGAGACATGTGATGTGAGGCTATTCATAAAAGCAAATGAAAAGAATGATGCACATCCAATGGGTACACATAATAGAGCTGAATGGTACACAACCTAAATGGTACACTAAGACTTGACTACTCAAATCACCATACAAAAGAATAACAGAACTATACATGATTAAATTTCAAATGCCTTGCCTATAAATACACCCATAAGTACTGTTGGATGACAATTATGTTAGAGCTGCAAAACAGAAAATATAAGATTACTTTGTTCTACTTAATGATTTTCATATTTACAGGGAAAGCTATAAGCACAAGTTTGTGTTTTTTCAGATGATTAGCAAATGCTACTTGAAAACACTGATGGTTATAGAACTTTATCAAGTTGGCATAGTTTTAAAAATTTGATTTCGCCATTTTCTCATTTATAATATCATTCAAAATTGTATGGTTTCATGCCTTTTAGTTACATTATATATGTAGTAGCGTATCACAAAATAAATAATCTACTGGAAACTAAAACTAAATATTCCATTTTTTATTAATAAAATCCAATTTTGTTAAATATCTTAATTTATTTTAGTTCTTCTTTTTGCAAACAAGAAATTTTAATGGAATGATTCTTGGGTATATCTATCTTAGATTTTCCGATAAAAAACTTAAAAACTATATTTTTCAGCATTAGGAAAAAAACCTTTTACATTAAATAGAATAACAATATATGTGTAAATATTTTTGTATGCTACATGTTATCTATAAATGCTATTTACTGGATTATGCTATCATTCATATCTGAATGTAGAACTCCGTTTTGTTTGTGTAAACCATAGACATAATTGTAGTTATCAATTTTTTATATTTGTTTATTTATTTAGCAACATTACCTATTCCTTGCCTATAAATACACCCATATGCACTCTTATTTCATATTACGAATCAAGATTAATTGTATGAGACAAAATATTTGTGCTACCTACGTTGCCTTTAATTTTATATGCTTGAGACATGTGATGGTGAGAGAATTCATAAAAGCAAATTTAAAGAATAGTGCACATCCAAGAAGGTATACATAATGGATATAAATGGTACACAACATAGATGGTACACTAATACTGGACTACTCAAAACTCACCATACACAAGAATAATAGAATTAAATCTGATTAAATTGCAAATGCTCTGCCAATAAATTCACCTATAAGCACTCTTATTTTATAAACCAACATCTCATTATCTTCTCCACATTGTTTTCATATTATGAATCCAGATTAATTCTATGAGACAAAATATTTGTGTTATCTACGTTGTCTTTAAGGTTATATACTTGAGATATGTGATGGTGAAGAAATTCATAAAAGCAAATGTAAAGAACCGTTCACATCTAAGAAGGTACACATAATAGAGCTGAATAGTACACAACCTAGATGGTACACAAAAACTCGACTACTCAAAACTCACCATACACAAGAATAATAAAACTATACATGATTAAATTGCATATGCCCTGCCTACAAATACACCCATAGACACTCTTATTTTACTAACCAACAACATCTCATTATTTTCTCTATATTGTTTTTCATATTATGAATTCAGATTAATGTATGAGATAAAATATGTGTGTTATCTACGTTGTCTTTAAGGTTATATGCTTAAGACATGTGATGG